GTGTGTTAACACACAACAAGCAGTCACCTTGTGATCAAATCTTTTCTGTGCTGCATTTTTATCATAACCTCCACTTGTACTTGGGGTGGGGGTGGGGCAGATAATCACCTATGCTGTGAATACGAGAAGCTGTGTCCCAGTGCCTCGTCGTAGTTTTCAGCTTTCTTCTGAGGCAACATACATACTTGCAAAAGTTTTTCAAAAATTCATGCCTCTCCACTAGGCTGGATTCTTTCAGCTAAACTACTCATCTCATTCTGGGGATTCCTTAGTCTCTCTGGAACTCAATCACTCCATCTTAAAGATGAGACAATGACAGTGCCTACTTCATAAGGTTGCTGGAAAACATTAAATCATGTCATACTAGACTTAAAGAATGTCTGGCCCATAGTTAAATTTGTAAATATTGTTATTACTATCATTTTTGTATTGAAGCTCTAATGGGCCATTTAGGCAGTAATTTCAAACTTTTTCACTATGACTGCTTCTGTTGATCTCGGTAACATTTCCAGAGAGGTGATATGAAATACATTGTTTAGCATCTCACTTTTTGAAGTAGAAAAGCTAACACCCAGCTGTAGAAGCGAGGTAGCTAAGGTTAATGGCAACTTGCCTGATTTACAACCCAGTGCTGTTTTTCTCCACCAGGGAATTTGGAAGAGAGGATCATATGCTACTCAATCAATGTGTATTGAATTGCTAGGCCCTGTACTGGATATTCAGAATGCTGCAGTGGGCAAGACATGAGGGTTTTTCTGCTCCCACAGTCAGCGTGCTAGTGTGAAGACACAGTCTTAAGCAACTAAATAATGACAAACAGAATTATATCACTTTGTGAGACTAAAAAATAAAGCAGGGTGCCATGCGTAAGATAACACGGTAGTGAAGAAAGACTTTCCTAAGTTGAGAACTTTTCTGACAAGAAGGAGTTGATCTGCAGACCTCCTTGCCTTAGCTAGGTAGCTAAGATATGGGAGAGAGGTTTCCATAAGGAGGAGCATTCAAGAGCCTATTCTGGTCCACCATAGACAAAAAGAAAAACACAAGACAGAGGTCTTCACGTTAAAGGTGGCCCAGAGCCTGATCAGGGAGGTGTGAAAGTAAAGACTGAAAAAGTTTTCCTCTTTCAGGTGAACAAAAAGGGCTGGGAACAGCAAAGGCAATTGTTCTCCCTCTAAGTGTTTATTAAGCTTAAATATGTTTGTGTATGTGCTAGGATTGAACCTAAACCTTGTGTAGTCTAAGAATATACTCTGCCCTAAACACACTTTGAACCAAACTTTTTGAGATGTTAAACTAAAATTCAGAAAATTTAAGGGTATAGATTTGCCGAGTTCAGAGAAATTATCTATCTATCTATCTATCTATCTATCTATCTATCTATCTATCTGTTGGGCATTTCCCCTATAAAGGTAAGTAGAATATTTCTATCACCCTAAAATATTGTCTTGCCTTTTTGAAGTCAGTTCTTGTCAAATGTGGTACCGAATATTACTCAATTTGTATCTGTCTGATGGTATTTCTTACTTAGATTGGGGCTATGGTGTTTAGGCCAGAAGGACATACAGTTGATATCCCATTTCACCGTATAATATCAGGAGATACATGTGTAGCAACTTATCTTCATTGAAGCCTGATGTGGTGGGACATACCTATAATTCTATCATCTAAAGTATAGAACAAGGAGGGTTGCAATTCAAGACAGGCACAGAATACACAGTGAGACCCTGTCTCAACAAACAAACAAGGGTCTAAAGAGTCCCTCCAGTGTAAAGTTACTATTAATAAATACGTTGGGATGTGTGAGATTATCCCATAAATTTAAATTGGCATCATATAAAGTCTGTATGTTTTAATTAAAGAGTATTAAGTTTGTGTTATATAAAGCCTTTGGTTTGAATTATAGTGTGTCAAATTGACAATATATAAGGTTCATATTGTTGTATTAGAGGGTGTGTCTTAACCAATCAGGAACACAGTTTATTTTTACTCATAACTTTTACTTTACTTTTGATATTTTTTTCTCATTCATGTTTTATAGCAGTGGTTCTCACCCTGTGGGTTACAACCCCTTGGCCAATCTTAATCTCCAAAAATATTTACATTGTGATTCATAATGGTAGCAAAATTACAGTTATGAAGTAGCAATGAAAATAATTTTATGATTGCAGGTCACCACAACATGGGGGACTGTATTGAAGGGTCACAGTATTTTGAAGGTTGGCAACCACTGCTCTACAGGTTTTTGTTCATTAATAAGCATAGCCTTATTTTTTTAGGTTTTGTTCTTTAATAAGCATAGACTAATAGGAAGTCAATGTATTTTAAGAACATAGAATTTGACCTGAGGTAAATCTGGATTTCTCAACTCACTCCCACTTACTAGCAGACTTTGAGAAAGGCAATTGAACCCACAACTATGATTTCTCATCCATAAAATTTCAGTAAAGCACCCAGCGCCTGGAACACCTCTTTAAAAACCAAGTCTATTTTTTACTATTGTAAATAGACTTTGATTTTTTTCTCTACCTGGGTGACTAGATTGTTTTAGATTTATTTGGTGCTCTGACACCTCAGCATACTGCAGCGGAACTGCTTTAGTAACTGTGGAGAAAGTGCCTGGGATTGTTTCAGTTGGTGGTAAATTCTTTCAGTTTGCCAATGTCCTCTATCATGTCCATTTGCAAACGTCTTTGCAAAAGTGGCAGTTTAGCTGAACATTTTTCTTCTACTTGTTTTTTCTTGTATCATTACTGAAACTATGTTAAGGGAAAATTGCAACAAGAACAATGAACTTCCTTTTTACAGCTTTCACAGTGTGTGTGTGTGTGTGTGTGTGTGTGTGTGTGTGTGTGTGTGTGTGTGTGTGCTGTATCATGGATTGGTAACAATTTTACCTGCTGAGCCATCTCACTGACCCAGATTTCTGTTTTTAGTAAGGAATTATCTAAGAGCTTTTGTTAGGAAAGATGTACTCCTATCAAGCCTTGGCTTTTTAGGATTTAAGTCGAATAAGTTTCACTTTCTTAAGTTTCACAAGTTTACTGCCTCGCTTCAAACTTTATTTCCTCTTATTAAAGTTGTATCATGTGGATCTTGTTTTCTCCTTAGGTTCTTTAGGCAGGTGCTTTATTGTAATTTTTTGTTTGTTTTGATACAGGTTTTTAGAGCAACACCATTTCTAATATATTGTCTTGGTCAACTCCTATAAAGTATTCTCACAAAGGAATTTTTACCAGTGTTTCCTCTTTATTATAGTGCGGCTGATCATTTTGTATTACAACTTTTTGGCGTTTTGTTAACTGTGTGGGTTTTGGCATTATTTTAAAATGTCATTAAATATTATTTGTCTTTGTCCTGAAACTGAAGACAACTATCTTGAAATGATCAGGAAGATCTCTCCCTACTGCCTAGCTTTCTTGGTGCTGGAAGTTGTTATGCAAGTTGCTGGAGCAGAAAGACATCAACGGTCTTACCCAATGGTAAATACTACTATACTGACCTGCAAGGCAATAATAGCAAGATTGTTTATGGGAGTATTAATCACTATCCTGGTTGGACCTGAGGCCTGCTCCTATGAACATGATTAAAAATCATGGCTTAGGAAGATGTAGACTTAGATGAGAATGTATTGGCACTGCTTTACTAAATGTGCTTGTTGGGAAACTGCTTTCTAAATAGTTATGTTTATATTTGTAGATCTGTGCTACTGTCAACCTTGGTCAGAGAAGCTTACTGCAGTGGGGAGTGGTTGACATAGAGACCCATACAGTTCAAAGCACTGAGAATAAGCAGCTATGAGTGCTCAGTTGTAAGTGGAATGTGTATATCACCCTCCCACCAAAGACCGGGAAAATAGCATAGAAGAATGGAAGAGGATGTAGAAAGAATGCAGGAGCTGGAGGATGGGGAGGAGTGCTGTGGGATGCTGTTCTCAAGGTGTAACATGGCTGTTGCACACATAAACTCAGCAGCTGTGGTGACCTGCATAAGACTGGCATGGCCCACTCCTGAGGAGTTATTGGCAGCTGATAGCTGCTGAGGAAGGAGGAGTCACCTTTTGGGGTGGGAATTGTCGTTAGTTTGTTTATGCCCCAGTGGATGACCCCATATGAACATGTGGGCAGTATTAATTGGACTCAGTAGGTTCTAAGAAATGAACGTGAAGCTGGAAAGGAGATGCGTAGGAGGGAGTGCCTGGGAGCAGTGAATGGAGGCATGGGGATGGATATGGCTAAGATAACTTGTATGCATGTATGGAATTTATCTTGGTAGCTCAGGTTTTTGTTTTTGTTTTGTTTTTGTTTTTGCCTCAGCACAGTGCAGTTATGGTTCTGTGATGACCTCTTAGACAAGTTGCATTCATGATTTTCTTTTAAAATGAAGGCCTTATTTTAGAGAGGCTGAAACTGTTAGGAGCTATCAAGAAGATTATACTTCCTGCCAGGAGAGGATCGACTTTCCCTGCCTTGCTTCCATTCCCACTAACGCAGGGCTCTCAATTCAGCATAAGCCTTGAGCTTTTCCAGCTGCTTCTATTGAGCATAGCCACATTGCTATTGGGATGCCTAGGACCGCTTCTTATTTACAGAGGTCATAGGTCAAGGCCTCACTCTCTAGGAATAAACCCCCAAGGACTATGGAGATCCTCCAGACCCCTGTCAGGGCTCTTATAACCCAAAGCATTCCTTTCTCTGCTGGGATCTGTCAGTTGGTTCTGGAAAAGATCAAATTTCCTTCCCCCAAATTTACCTATTAGCCACATAAGGTTCCTGGAGAAAGTCCTGAGAGAAGAGTTGGTCTCATAATCCTCAAATGTCATAACTGAAGGTCCCTTAGAGAGCATCTTGCCCCAACACGCCTCATTTAACAGAACATGTAACTTCCTTTGCTCTATTTCCACATTTCACGGAATCCCCAAGGCTGCCTTATAATACAAATCAGGAGCAAGGTAAGAGCCAAGTTAATCAGGAAAAGCAAGCTATCATGGGACCCAGCTGTGCTTGAGGAGGACTGAGTCATTATAAATGCAGCCTTGACCTCAGGAGTTGTTTATCAAGGATTTTCTTCAAGGACAAAAAGATTTGTGCTGATTCAACTCCAGAGCTTTACACCGGGTTGGGTAAGGCTGGAAGGTGTTTGGTTCAGTTTCACCCTGGCAGGTCTTGGGGTTTGAAAGGACCTGATGTTAGGAGGTCTGTGTTTTCTTCTGACTGGCCGCCGGTAGTGTGGAAGGAAGGCAGTCTTGGCCCATGTCCCTTACCTGACTCCTGTGATGATGGTTCTTGCCTTCAGTTCTGAAATTGAGAGAAAACTCCCAATCTTGTTAGGGCAGGCTTTGGGAAGTGTGAATTTCTTCATGTTTTTATATTTGTAACAATATCTACCAGGTGCAAAACACTATCTATCCATTTCTCCAGATTAGCCTCAAAAGAGTGTGAGTGTGGTTTTCAGCTACGTTTTATAGATGAAGTCTCCAAGACCACATTCTATACCACACACAGCACCTTGAGAGTGACAAATCAAGCATGGGTATATAGTAATTGAGTTGACAGGTGTCACAGAGTTGAGACCACCGCCTTGATCTGGTCTGAGATGGATTCCATAATCTGATTTGATTCCTAGAAAGTGTAGAATTTGTAGGACTTTGGTGCCTAGGCCCTAAGAAAACTTTGGAACCCTAATATTGTGCTAGAAGGGCAATTTACCATCTTTTACTTCATATCCTTGGACTATTTTCCTTTCAGATTAGTGAATGATAAGTCTGATCAACCGAGAGTAGAGAGTCACATCTCAGTATTTAGCCATGTGTAGTGAACTCTCTCTCTCTCTGTGTGTGTGTCTTGTGTGCATCTGTGTATGTCAGTGCATTTATTTTAAACAAGTGTATATTTACACTCTTACCAAAGAAAGATGTATTACAAAGGGTATTATCTAGCTGAGTTTTCTATTTTAACAGAAACAAGGTCATAGATGACAGATTTCTAAATAGACAGGAGGTTTTGTTAAAGCAGACCACCTAGGGAACTTGTGTCTTGGGTGCTCAGAAAATAGCTCAGAGTGGTATCTGGACACAAATCCAACACTATCACCAGCCACGGAAAAGGAACCCATTTCTCCTCCCTTCCCTCCAATATATCTGATCAAGAAAATGGCATATTTTTGATTTTTTTATTCATGTTGCCCAGGGAGGGCACCCAGTATTTTCACAGTGCAACTGCTCAGGTGTATTGGTAAATGTGATCACAGTTGTGCAGTTCAGCAGCCTGATGGTGAGGGTGGCTCCAGCTGGGTTGGAATTGCTGCCGGGGATGGAGGTTGATGGAGGGGAGTCGAAGGAGTTCTCGGCTTACAGGTTAGCAAGAAGCCAGTCTAGCAGTTGTTTTTTAGCCATGTTGCCCACGGCTTCATCCAGTTGTCGTTCTTTGGCGAACTTCATGACCTCCTGAAGAAGATCGCCGACACTGTACCCTTTCTCTGCTGCCTTGGCTGAAACTTCAGGGAGCTGTGGAGAAAGCAGAGTTAGTTTGAGTAATCTGATACTTTTTAGGAAGCGGTCCCACTGGGCGAAGTGAACTAACATCTCCATATGTGCCTGTCTCCTGGGTTAAAGTCATGTCACAGATCCAGAATCGGAGGCAGCTGGTATGCCTATCCTTTTCCCTTAAGTCTTCTGAAAAGAAGTTGTGTTTAATAAGTACTTCTCACCAGGTCACAGACCCTCAAGATAGTTTGTGCAAATTTCTAGGTCAAAGTCTAGGGTTGTTGTTACTCTTCATCCCTGAAAAAAATCTACGACATGGGTGTAAGGAGAATTGCATGGTTTTGTTTCAGCTCCTATACTGAAAAATGATTTAACTATGTGATTTCTCTGGAATCTATCTGATGTGGGAACTGCAGTTGTGTGTGTGTGTGTGTGTGTGTGTGTGTGTGTGTGTGTGTGTGTGTAGATAGAGAATTTGATTATATATGGATGCCATCCTGCTCACATCCACCAATACTACCTTTAATTTGTTGAGCCTTAATGCACTTCTTACCTTCTCTAGTTGTCCATCGTCATCTCCCATGAAGTAGAGCATGGGCACGTTAAACTGAGAGGCTGCAATCCATTGCAGGACAGCCTGCAGCTGCTTCTGCAAGTTACTTGTAGAGCACTGATTGTTGACAATAACTTCAGGGCCAGGAGCATCTTGATACTGTGACATTGCACCTTCACGGCCGCATCTGGAGCTACCACCTGCCATGGCTGCTTGTTCTTCCAGCTCTGCCAGGGCTGCTCCATTGTTGCTATACTTAGCCATGATCAGGCACAGTTTCATCACGGATTCTACCAGTTGGTCTATAAATTGGCGGTTCATTTGCTTCATCCCACTGATGAAGTCCTGTTCTGAACTGTCTGGGCATTGATCTTCAGGTCTCTTGGCCATGGGACCAGTTTTGCTTGATCTAGGATCAGAACGCTTATTTTCACCTTCAGGTAGATCATCACAGCTGAAAGGGCTCTCGCTAAGAAGTTTCTGAATCAGTGACAGAACCATATTTGACATATCCAGCTTCTGGGAATCCAGTTGAGTTTCCTTCGCACATGCGGATGGTCCAGGAGCTCCACGGCTTTCAAAATGCTTCATTGAGAGTGATTTGGCATTTTGGCTACCTCCACACTTCTCATATTGTGTACTTTGGGACATATATCCCATGGAGGAACCAGGGCATTCATCTTCGCATATATCTTTGCCCTTCGCTTGCTGGGTCAGATGGTATTGAATCAGCATAAGGGCAGAGACAATCAGATCTTTGGCCAGTGAATCTGTAGAAGGACTGAGCTTTTCTCTCTTCTCATCTTTAGTAGTACACACTTTGTTGGTAGTCACCCTGCCCTGGTTTCCTTGCTTCTGGTTCCACATAGTGAGGCTCTCTTTGAGGATATGTTCGCCGACTTTTTCAGCACTTGTCAGTGACTTGCAGCATGGATCTGTTTTCACTTTGCATTTATCTTTTCCTTTCATCTCAGCTTTCATAGCTGAGAACTCAAGACTCTGATTCTTGCATTTTGGATCATGAGTTCCAGCTTTTAGGGTTGCATATGCCAGACTCTGAGATTTAGTCTCCTTCTTCTCACCAAGAAGAGCACTGACCAAACGCTTTAGCATGGCCTCCATGATGTCCGCTGCATTTTGTTTTCCATGATTGAAAAGATTTCTCTTGACAGCAGAAACAAAGTCTGAGTCTGTCATCAGGACCCCTGTTATGTTATGCAAGTTCTTCATGCATGAGTCAATCAAATCAGACACAATTTCCTTGGTGTGCTTTAATAGTACCCTCTTCAGGACCACACAAGCTGGAATTGGCTTCCCACAGCTGTGCACTTTCAAAGTTTTCATAACAGAGACCATCATGTCAGATGCCACCTGATTTGCATAAACCATGAGCCCCTTGCTGATGGAATCTGCAAATTCCTTGCTATCTTTTGGGCACATCTGCTTCTCTCCACACTTGTTCTTGTTAGATAATTCGCTATATAGAAAGGTTTTCCGGCCATCCCTGCATTCCTCCCCATTGCCGCGCATTTCTGCTGAGGTCAGTTCTACAGCTTCATGGGCCATCTCAGAAGCAATCTTGCTGACAGCGCTTCGGGGACTGGTTTTCCCCTTTTCTCCTGGGGATGCATATATTGAATGATGGAGGCATTTGCTTCCACCTTCCAATTTGTCCTTGATTTCTTTTCGTGCCATTTGAATTACCAGAGAAGACAATCGGTTGACATAGAAGGAAAGATCGTCCATAGAGCATTCTGCATCTGAGGTGGCAACTGACCTTTGATTGCTAGGAGATTTGGCTGCAGGATTTGAGGGACTTTGGTTATTGTTGGTGTTTTTTGATGCCGCCATTTCTAGGCGTAGGCTTTGAGGTCCTTTGTTCAAAAAATCCATATTTAGTTGATCAGCGTACACACTGTAGCAGTTTTCAGAGGGTATTTTGTGATAGTCACCCTCTAGGTCTCCCACTTTATGTTTACAGCTAGAGGCTGAGGGGCTTAATGCATGTTGGAACCCCAAGGCATACTTCTGGAGATCATTGAGGAGCCAATTGAGGACACTTATGGGATCGGAGGGAGCTTGTTTGAAAAGGCACACGGAACCCTCCGTCTGGAAAAAGAAGAACACCCCTCCATAAGTGTTTTGTAGAGTTAGGTAGGTTACTTCTGCCCTTTTATTTTCTTGTTAGAAGAGATAGCTTCTAAGTAATACAGATTAGAGATTTGACCATTTGACTTTATTAGGGTCTAATAATATCCATTAATGAACATTCAAAAAACAAAAGCTCAGAATGTGTATAGTATATATGCTTGTAGATTTAACTATTTGTTGCCAATTTCATATGAGTATGTATGTACTGTGCACATCCATTGTGTTAGCTAACACAAGTATGCATTTTGTACATACTGGTACATGGAAAAATACATTTGTATATGCCACTATGAATATGTCAATTTTAATAATATATTCACTATTATCAATTATGTAGCTAGAGAGTGTTGAATTATAAATCCATATTTTAACCAATAGTATGTTAATATGTTTAAAATAACTATTACATACCACTACATTAATTATTAGTTTATTCTACATTTATAAAGTCTGATTTATATATGTGTGTATATATACATATATATATATATGTTGTACATACTCTGGGTGTTTGAATGTATTGTGAATATCGTAAGTAGGTATATAATTGCATTTGTGTCAATGTGTGTATCAAAGTATCAAACAAGTGTGTTAGTGAATGCGTTGCTTTATGTATGTATGTATGCATGCCAGTCATCATTGTGTATGGTCACATAGGTTTCATGTGTATTGACAGGAAAGTGTGTCAGATGCCCCTGGAACTGGAGTTGCAGCACCACGTGGGTGCTGGGAATCAAACCTGGGTTCTCTAGGAGAGCTGTCAGTGAGTGCTCTTAACCTCTGAGGAATCTCTCCAGCCCCAAGTTATATTTTCTTAAGACTTTGAAGAGTGTTCTATAACTTGTTTTACTTCTTTCAGGGCCACTGGTCTTATTTCAAATGTGTCTGAGTTCATAAATGATGTTTTGCTTATACCATATGAGTGTAGAGACAGGGAACAGAAAGCCTTTGATTTGTTTGCATTAAAGTCAAACATTCTTTCCATTACCAGTTTTCCCAGGCATGTAGGGATGTGGGTGTGTTTTAGTATCCTTTCTAAACCATGAGACTAACAAATATAATTTGAAATACAAAAAAAAAATGGATTTGGGGTATGACCATAGTACGCAAGTCCGGTTGCTTCTAATTTGAACCGTTTCAGCAACTTGTGTATGTAATCTCTTAGGTACTCAAATTCTTGGTTATGTGTTTTCTCTGTTCCATATCTTTGTTCCTTACTGAATGTTGGGCAATATGAGGCACATGAACACAGCACAAATCAGCAAGGTCAATACTAAGTGTACATCTTTCTTAGAACAAGGATAGCAAGGCTCTGTTTGGAGTAGATACCTCCAAGTCAAAGGGGGTATTCTGAAACTTTTTGATTAATGAACACCATTTAAAATACCTGCATGTGGAGCTTACCATGGCCCTGAACTTAGTCCTCTGTTTTCTGGAGTGTCATGTATTCCAGATTGGTGGACCTATTGGACAACCATTTCCTTGCCGTCTCTGACCCAGAGTCATCAGACTTAATACTGGGCCCTAGAAATTAGGAGTGATAGAACCTTAGAGGCTATGTCACCTTAGACTGGTCTTGTTTTTCAGTGTCCTTGATCACAATAATCTCTTTTTCTTCCAGATTCTCCAGATCTAATTCGCCTTCAGACCTGGAACCAGCAGCACCCTGTGGAATTAAAAGGTGAGATTTTTATTGAAAAGTTTATTTTTGAGATTTTTCCAAATTGTTCCCACCCCTTGGGCTACAACTTCACAGCATGAAGGTAATGTCTCCCGTAATCCTTTTGTTTCTCCAGAAGAGGTAGGGTTTCAATGCTACAAATTTTTGAAGAATGAGACAAGATTATTTCCCCAAATTGCTAATTTGTCCTCTGATAACACTCAAGACTATCAGTCTCAAGAACAATCTGTTACTTACCATCTTTCTGGACTGATTATGTGTATCCATGTTTTTATTTAGCCCAACAACTGATTAAGCCACTTCTAAAATGAAATTTGTTTTCAAGAGTGACAATAAATTCAGAACTAGATGCCCTGGGCCCTCCACCTGCATCCCTTCCACCTTCCCTCCCTCTGCCTCACCCTTTTCTTCTCCCCATCCTTCACTCATTTTTCACCCTCTTCAACTTGAAACACGAGATACCTACCTTGGAATCTTTATCTTCCACATTCAGGGTGGACACATCCACAAAGCATATCTGCAAAAAAATGATAAAGGCAAATTTAGATAACCTCTAGAGGGAAGGCCATAGTTTCTTTCTTGGAGATGATAATAGCACTTACCTCATGTAATTCTCTTGTGAAAATGAACTGATAGTGTATGAACATTTCTAAGCAGAATGTGACACACAAGAAAATAGAGTGGTCCAAAAGAAAATATCCGTAAGTACTGATAGAAAAAAACCTGAGACAGCATGGCCCAACTGGTACAAGTAAAAACGTTGATTTTGTGACAGAATTTGAATTCCCCCAACTTCAAATTTAGTTTATTTTCTACTACATCAGTCTTTTTCAAAATGTACTATTTTACTGTCAATTATATCAAATGTTTTAGTAGTACATGGGTAAACAATTCCTCCTTTCCTCTTAGCTCCTCCCTCTTAGCCCCTCCCCATCAGGTCCCTGCCCTCTGAGGCTCCTCCCCTGATTAGGACCCTCCCCTCATAGGATAATCCCATCTTAGGCACCTCCTTTAACCTAGGCTCCTTCCTCAGCCTAGGCTCCTCCCCATCTTATGCCCCTCCCCTTAAGTCCCACCCCTCTTAAGCCCTACACCTTTAGGTCCCTCCCCGCTTAAGATTCTGCCCTGCTTAGGCCCCTCCCACTATAGGGCCCTCCCTCCTAAGCTCCGACCCTGCTTAGGCCCCTTCCAAGGTAGACCCTCCCTCTTAAGCTCCTCCCTTACTTAGGTCCCTCCCACTTTAGGCCCCTCCAAAATTAGACCCCTCCCTCTTAAGCTTCTCCCCTGCGGGGCCCCTCCCTCTTTAGTTCCTCCCTGCTTAGGCTCCTCCCATTAGGCCCCTCCCGCTTTAGGCCCCTCCCTCCTTAGCTCCTCCCTGCTTAGGCTCCTCCCATTAGGCCCCTCCCAATTTGGCCCCTCCCTCTTTAGCTCCTCCCTGCTTAGGCTCCTCCCATCAGGCTACACCCACTTTAGGCCCCTCCCTCTTAAGCTCCTCCCCTGCTGAGGCCCCTCCCGCTGTGCCCTCCCATTTTAGGTCCCTCCTTCTTAAGCTCCTCCCATTAGACTCCTCCCACTTTGGGCCCCTCCCTCTTAACATCCTCCCCTGCTGAGGCCCCTCCCGATTTAGGCTCCTCCCTCTTAAACTCCTCCCCTGGTGAGGCCCTCCCACTTTAGGTTCCTCCCTCTTAAGTTCTTCCCCTGCTTAGGCTCCTCCCATTAGGCCCCTCCCACTTCAGGCCCCTCCCTCTTAAGCTCCCCCCCTGCAGATGCCCCTCCCATTTTGGGCCACTCCCTCTTAAGCTCCTCCCCTGTTTAGGCTCCTCCTGTTAGGCCCCTCCCATTTTAGGCCACTCTTAAGCTCCTCCCATTAGGCCCCTCCCACTTTGGGCCCCTCCCTCTTAAGCTCTCCCCTTCTCTGGCTCCTCCCACTTAAGGCCCCTCCCTCTTAAGTTCCTCCCCTGCTTAGGCCCCTCCCTCTTAAGCTCCTCCCCTGGTGAGGCCACTCCCGCTTTAGGCTCCTCACTCTTAAGCTCCTCCCCTGGTGAGGCCCTCCCACTTTAGGCTCCTCCCTCTTAAGTTCTTCCCCTGCTTAGGCTCCTCCCATTAGGTCCCTCCCACTTTAGGCCCCCTCCCTCTTAAACTCCTCCTCTGCTGATGCTCCTCCCTTTTAGGCCCCTCCCTCTTAAGCTCCTCCCCTGTTCTGGCACCTCCCACTTTGGTCCCTTCCCTCTTAAGCTCCTCCCCTGCTCTGGCTCCTCCCACTTTGGGCCCCTCCCTCTAAAGCTCCTCCCCTGCTCTGGTTCCTCCCATGAGGCCCCTCCCACTTTGGGCCCCTCCCTCTTAAGCTCCTCCCCTGCTGTCTCCTCCCACTTTAGGCCCCTCCCACTTTGGGCGCCTCCCTCTCAAGCTCCTCTCCTGCTCTGGCTCCTCCCATGAGACCCCTCCCACTTTGGGCCCCTCCCTCTTAAGCCCCTCCCCTGTTCTGGCTACATCCACTTTAGGCCCCTTCCACTTTGGGCCCCTCCCTCTTAAGCTCCTCCCCTGCTCTGGTTCCTCCCATTAGGCCCATCCCACTTTGGGCCCCTCCCTCTTAAGCTCCTCCCCTGCTGTCTCCTCCCACTTTAGGCCCCTCCCACTTTGGCCCCTCCCTCTTAAGCTCCTCCCCTGTTCTGGCACCTCCCACTTTGGTCCCTTCCCTCTTAAGCTCCTCCCCTGCTCTGGTTCCTCTCATGAGGCCCCTCCCACTTTGGGCCCCTCCCTCTTAAGCTCCTCCCCTGCTCTGGTTCCTCCCATGAGGCCCCTCCCACTTTGGGCCCCTCCCTCTTAAGCTCCTACCCTGCTCTGGTTCCTCCCATGAGGCCCCTCCCACTTTGGGCCCCTCCCTCTTAAGCTCCTCCCCTGCTCTGGTTCCTCCCATGAGGCCCCTCCCACTTTGGGCCCCTCCCTCTTAAGCTCCTCCCCTGCTCTGGCTCCTCCCATTAGGCACCTCCTACTTTGGGCCCCTCCCTCTTAAGCTCCTCCCCTGCTCTGGTTCCTCCCATTAGGCCCCTCCCACTTTGGGCCCCTCCCTCTTAAGCTCCTCCCCTGCTGTCTCCTCCCACTTTAAGCCCCTCCCACATTTGGCCCCTCCCTCTTAAGTTCCTCCCCTGCTCTGGCTCCTCCCATTAGGCACCTCCCACTTTGGGCCCCTCCCTCTTAAGTTCCTCCCCTGCTCTGCCTGCTCCCATTAGGCCCCTCCCACTTTGGGCCCCTCCCTCTTAAGCTCCTCCCCTGCTGATGCCCCTCCCATTTAGGCCCCTCCCTCTTAAGCTCCTCCCCTGCTCTGTCTCCTCCCACTTTAGGCCCCTCCCACTTTGGGCCCCTCCCTTTTAAGCCCCTCCCCTGTTCTGGCTCCATCCACTTTAGGCCCCTCCCACTTTGGGCCCCTCCCTCTTAAGCTCCTCCCCTGCTCTGCCTGCTCCCATTAGGCCCCTCCCACTTTGGGCCCCTCCCTCTTAAGCTCCTCCCCTGCTGATGCCCCTCCCATTTAGGCCCCTCCCTCTTAAGCTCCTCCCCTGCTCTGTCTCCTCCCACTTTAGGCCCCTCCCACTTTGGGCCCCTTCCTCTTAAGCCCCTCCCCTGTTCTGGCTCCATCCACTTTAGGCCCCTCCCACTTTGGGCCCCTCCCTCTTAAGCTCCTCCCCTGCTCTGCCTGCTCCCATTAGGCCCCTCCCACTTTGGGCCCCTCCCTCTTAAGCTCCTCCCCTGATGATGCCCCTCCCATTTAGGCCCCTCCCCCTCAAGCTCCTCCCCTGCTCCTGTTTCTCCCATTAGGCTCCTCCCACATTGGGCCCCTGCCTCTTAATCTCCTCCCCTTCTTAGGCTCCTCCCTTTAGTCCCCCTCCCTCACAAGGCCCTTCCCACTTTAGGAACCTCCTACTTTAGGACCCTCCCTCTTAAGCTCCTCCTGCTCAGGCCCCTCCCCTTAGGCCCGTCCCCTTAGGCACCTCCCCTTTAGGTCCCTCCCTCCTGTTTGTCTCCTCCCTTCTCTTTGGCACCCTCTCAGATTTCTTTGTTTAGGCCCCTCCCTCCTCTCCTGACTCATCCCCCCTGCAAGCTCCTACCTCCCTTTATATCCCTCCCTCCCCTCCCCTGTTGATTTACATGGCTTTCCACTCTGCCCCTCCAATTCACTGCTGTGTGACGTGCATGTGTTCTGAGCCCTGAAAGCGTTTACTGTGCTTTGATGCTTGGAGAAGCCACATATCAGCTTCCATGAGTTTATCCTGGACTCCAGTATATCTATACTCATATGGAAAAATTTTCTGCTCCTTGGAGTCAGTTTGTTATCTTACCACTTTTCGGTCCTGATCTTGTTGTCCTTTTGGGCTGTAAAGATCTACCTTGCACACGCCCCTGCGGCTATGTAACCAGTCAATATCGTCAGACATCTTCAGGAAGAAGCAAAAGAAATGTGAAATTCTTATATCCGGTTTATAAAATGAAGTCAATTTAAATACAACTCCTGAGTGGCCCCTGATACCCATCTGCTTAGAGAGGTTTGGGCTAAGAACCACAGAGAAGAAAGGATCTGAAAGTGGGGAATGATGCTGGAATGTTTAAGGCACAGGATCAATAAGTTTTTTCAAAATATATGGTCTCCTTTCATTTACTTATGGCATGGTAATATCACATTGACTTGAGAAGACACCAGCAGGGTTAGTGGTGTATGCATGAGGAAGCAAATTTAAGCGTACAAAGGGGTTATATGCAGTGACTTATGTCTACCCAACTAAATGTCTGAAAGTTTTGGTGTCTGGGACTTGAATTGTATTTTTTCCAGAATTTAGCAGGATAAATTTCTTCTAAGTATTAGATGGCTGTGGAATTCATTTTACACTTATAAAAATATAATTTCTTCTCCTTTAGGTTCACTAGATTATGAGATCTTTCCTTTTCTCTCTAGCACTTCAAAGTAGTCTCATATTCTGTTCTTTCCCTCTGTCACTTCTTTTTACCCT